CTGAGGCTTAAATATATTCGACCCTGATACAGTAATTTAAGATCGATAAAACCATGTTCTGAAGGCATCGAATATCCAATTTCGTGTGAGAAACCTGTTAAGGATTATAAAATATACATTGAAATTCCCAGTTAATCTTCCCTCAGCCTATGCAGAAAAATAATATGCGAATCGGAGGGGAATTGGATACCCATCCGCGAGTCTTTACCGATACAATCCCAACTCCATCCAATCAAATATTGAATATCATGTGCTCACGTGAATTTTTTGATGCCCAATAAAAAAGAGAGAAAATAAAAATCCACGGGAGGGATTAAAGTGATTTAGTTCCGGGATATTATACTTTCATATTTTTACTCTTTATATTTTTTTATGATGAAGAAAGACAGAACGTTAAATCCCCCCGATTATTTTGAAGTGAGTTTCCGAATCCTCTTTGTGAGATTTTTCACAGTTTTATGTTTCATAAACATGAAAAAAATTATGCGTAGACGGAGAGGGGAGAGCGGGAAAGGCTTATTTTTTTTTTTTTTTCATTTCACTCGCAGAGCCAATCCCTAAATCTTGTTTACAAGCAAATTCTCAGATTTTGGTGGCTCGACTTTTGTCATGAATTTTTCCAATGCTCTTTCGAAAATCATTTCTTTGGTGTAGTTTACTACGAAGAGGATTAGAGGACTAGAGTACTGGAGGGAAAGAGAGGGCTGAGGATCAGTAGCGTCGATAGGAGAGGAACAAATTTAGTTTTACATCTGGCCCTTTGAGACGAGATGAAAATTGGTGGTTAAAATTTGGGGCTTTTGCCTTGGAGGATTAAATGAAAATCCTGGGTTGAAAATAAACACGATTTGCCTATTATCCAGCCAACTAACCCGAATAAATTGTGGAATATTGAATTAATTCTTTGCATGAATGAGTTCCGGAAGGAGCAGACGTGGGGGGGAGTTATCAGGATAAAGGTTGGGGTAGTCTGATGTATTTTAGTTGTATGCGAAAGCACGAACAAACCCGACCCCAACCCTGCGGGATGGTTGGACCCAGTGGAGCGTCACCTAACAGGATTACTCTGACGTGATTGTATACGCGTCAAGAAAATAGAGTGGCACTGTGAAAGCTCATACACGAGCAACATACCAGCAAGTACTCTCAGCTAACTCGAATCCAGGAATTCGCCCCAATTGTCAGCATCTAATGACTTGAAAAAGATGACTCCACAGTTTAAATAAAATTCATTCAGAATATTATCACAAGTTTCTAGATAAAATTAATCCCCTCAACAGTCTCTACTTGATTCTCTCATCCTGATTTCCCCGAAAACCCCATACCACGGTTGTCTGCTTTTCGTATTTTCTACTTCCGAAAATGAGAGATTAAAAAAAATGGTCGGGAGGCGAAAAGTCGAGACGTTGGACGATTTTTCAAGCGCATTTACGGGGTGATAGGAGACGATAGGACGACCTCGTCAGGGCGTGAATGGATGATGCAGCTGCTACGTCTAGAGCCAAGACACCTCGAAGACACGAGACATTCAGCACCCCACACTGTGTTTTATCGGAAATTTAGGATCATTTGTTAGCTGAGGCTTTTTGCGATGACGTTGAGGTGTGGATAACGAGGATGGGTTTATCCTGGGCACAAAAGCTCGTCTGGAAAAAATCTTTTTATGCAACTTAGTAGAAATAAATAACGGGACAAAAGCGCTGGTTGACCAGCAGGCCTGGTTTATGGATCCCCTGAACAAGGCGAATTGTTATGTAACAACATCATAGTGAGTCGCACGACAAATGTCGAACTAGGGCTCGAACTAAGTGAACCGTGAATTCTGGGCGTTTGTGAGGATTTTATTTTTCCAAGTTGTCTGAGGGACTATTGTCATGGGACACCTTTGGACCTCATGCAGCTCATTGTATCACACCTTTTCGGGAAGATTCATGATCTGCAACTGGAGATCTTGAAATCTTCGACTATTTGGGTGGCGCCTTACAAGAATCCTAATACGAATAAATGTCTTCATCCGTATTGCATTATTGTTCACTCCCTCAAAAAAATGTGAGAATTTCCATTTTCATTTCATTCAAGGTACCAAGATACATCGAGCTCAGGAGATATGGAAATAAAAAATCATCAGGCAGCCTGAAAATAAGCAAAACGATTAACCAACAGCTGAGTCAGAACAATTTCCCCACACCTAGTTCACTCACCTATCATCAATCACTGAAATTTGCGTGTCACTGGTACAAGTAAGGCAGTGCGAAATGGAGTCATTAAGCCGTGAGTTGAAAAACACAGTTGGAGATTAGTGTTTTCACTGGTGATGAATTTAACACACTTTGAATACAACACTACCGTGTCTTGTTACCATCCAACAGGGCAAGACGTTTTTCAATGCAACGCCTAAAGAAACAACCCCAGTATTTACATATCTCGGTAATTAATCAGCCTCAGACGAAAGACTGGGGCACACTGTGATTTCACTGCGGGAATATCCTCATATTTACTTTTCGGTATTTTTTCCCCCATTCCACCATTTTTTCAAATCTACCCTTTGGTAATTAGTCTTCCCAATCATCAGTTGCGGTTGTGCAAGAAAAGTTTCAGCTGGCGTGATGACATGAGCGATCATCTGCGTGACAAAAAATAAAAGTGGAAAAAAAAGCTGAATAAATTTCCGAAGACGAAGAAAATCTGGCACTTGTGCATTATCGGACACATTCATAATTAACACTTGACAGCGAGTAAAATAAGGTAAAAATAGAGTATAAAAATAGTCGGGAATGACTGCTCAACGTTATCAGCTTTCCTATCGCCATATCATCAAAATACATAAGCCATCAACAATCCAGTGGTAAATTAATGCACGAGCATGGGCAGCCATTGGGATTTTGCTAGTGGGCCAATCCATAAATTCTCCATTATCTTCCCATCATATTTATCTAACAAATAATTATTCCTGATAATATTTCAACCCCTCGTCCAATCCTGTCGACGCATGGATGAGAAGATCGAACGATAAAGACCGGACGTCCTGCAGCGTCTTTGTTTATCCTTAAACAACGGCTGGACCGCGATCGTTCAACAAATTTCATTTTTATTTACGGCTCAGCCAACTCTAACCCATTATAAGACAACGTCGGCGCGTGGGTGTTGACGCCAAAGGGAAGGTGTGCAGAGGGGGGTTGAACCGTCATTTATTGTTACTCCCCCCGCGGCTAGAGTGTCCAATACTTACCCCTCCACTATCTTTCACCTCAAACCTTGAGGAATGAGTTTTAAATTGTTTTTTTTTTTTCGGACATTAACTTTTGGGGTAATCAAATCCCAAAGTTATTACTGGTACGGGTTTAGAACAACGCGCGTGCCAGTGGGAGTCCAGTTGAAATTAGAGAAAGAAGTTTCTCATCGTCTCACATCAGCTGTGAAATATAATATGTCTGGGATTCTATTTTGTAATCGTATGAAAAAATCTCGGGAACAAGAGTGACGGGCTGTAAATCAAAAGGCACTTGGCGCCGAATAAATATTCGGGTGATTAATGTGGAGTGATTGTTATTTTTCACGCCGAGTCCGGCATGAATTAGTACAAAACGTGGAGATGATTATTTCTATAAATATTTGAGGTCTATGGGTGGTGTACTTTGCAGTAATTTGCACACTTGCTAGGATTTTTAATGCGTTGGAAATTTCTGCGTATGTGTGAGCCACTGGCATTGCCCTCTTCCTCATAAAATACCACCCAAAGTATCCCTCACTTGCCCACTTATGCGAAACAATGCGGCGGATCCTTCGTCCAACCTGTTTGCTCTTCAACAAAACGCGTACGCCAGTAATTTATCTTTAACCGTGCGTAATGAGTAGGTTGTTAATACACTGGAGTACTCAGGAGAAAGGAGGTTTATGCACTCGATGGGCCAGGGTACCATCTATTAGACCACAGACACAACCATTGTGGCGAAACATTTTATGGAACAGGCGTTTAACAATTATCCCTTCTCAGTTTCAACTCTTTCGACAAGAAGTTATCGGTCCGCCAATTGCCAATAATTTCTCCTCCCGTCCTGCTCCGATTGTAATCAACAAATCTGAATAAAAAATTCTGTGGAAAATATTCTCCAAGCATTACAAACAATTTTATCCCCTCGTATCATCAATTCCCATTGAGAAGTACGAGGTAGCCTTTCTCGAGTGATTTCACCCCCCAATTACAACTGAATTTGGCTGAATAATGCTCCCTCAACAGTCGGCAATACACGAAGCATATAAAATTATTCGAGTGTAACTTTTTATCTTACCGATCTGGACTCGCATGAAATTTGCAACAAAATGCCGTCCAGCCAGGTTTCTGATGATCATATTCGTTGTTAGTGGTTGATTCATATTTTTTTTTTTCAACTCCGAAAAACATTTTCATTCGCAACAGAGTCGTCGAGATCCCCGGGGGCTTTTGTGACGGTTTATTGCGCTCGACCCGGTGAAATGATGTCATTAGATATACTTAGGTGAGACTTTATTGGTCGTTCTTTGTGTGACGTCTCCTGAGAGAAGCGTCAGGAGACGAGACACCGCTCCTTCTGCCACCAACCAACGGTTTTCGTGGTACTTCTCCGAGTTGAACGACAATTCATCGGTTATCACGACATATTATACGACTGAGCCCTTTTATTACCCACTGGTAAACGCATCTTCGTGGTGTTACAGTCGCCGGCTTTTACTACCGTTTTGACTGTCAATGTACCCTCAGGTGTATCGTTTGGTGGGTTAACTACCGCCTGAGGAAGACAAAAATATTTAAACATTCTTCTTCATCCTTTATCTGAGATTATGGCCCACTGGGGCTTATTCAAATGAATCCAAGGAGGGACTTTGGGCGGGTCGAGTGTTTTCGAAAATCCGGGAGTCAAAACTGTTTTATTACCGTATTTTAGAAGGATTAGATGAATAACGTACGCCATTATGACTCCTCCTTTCATTTGTTTAGTTTTTTGTTTTGGTTAATAGTTTTGATTTCAATATTTTAGTGATTTCGTATATTCAAAATGCCCAAACAACAGCCCATTGATTTGCTGAATGACTCGTCGCAGGAGGCTGTCTTCATCAGGAAGAATAGAGTTCTCTTCAAGAAATTGGCGAAGACGACGCATTTCAATCTACAGGAAGTTGAACGTATGTTATCAGCACAAAGAGATTTCGTAATTAATTAATTTGGACTTGTTTAAGAACTGGCGGTTTTGCACAAAAAAATTCGTCAGGCGATGGGTCCAGTAACGATATCAGTCTTCCGGGACATAATGCACTCAGGATTGGACTACACCGAGAACATCCGACACTTGTTGATAGACAGAGTTTTTTCAGTCATTGACACCCGCACTGTATTGCAATTACCCGCAGACCAGTGGATCGAGGGTCTGTCCATAATTCTTCGAGGTACCCTAGATGAGCGCATCAAATTTGCGTACGCAGTTTACGATCAGATGCGAACAAACCGAATAAAAAAAGAGCAGGTGTTTCCGATGATGAGAGGCTGCCTGATCAAGCTGGAGAGCGAAGAGGATCCGGATGAATCAGTCCGGGTATGTCTCGGTGAATCATTGAGATTGTAACGCATTAACCTTAATTTGTCTCGTTAATTAGGATCTGATAGAGATGATGCTGAAGACACTGGACGTTGATCGTGATGGGAGAGTCGATGAAGAGGAGTTCAAGATTATTGTCAAGAGGGATCCACTGTTTTTGGAGTGCATGGGACCGGTATTTCCTTCTAGGGAAGCCCAGCATGCCTTTTTAACGACGTTTACCCATCGATTGGGGGATTTATGAAGAGATAAATATACAGAGGAGCATTCAGGGACTGTGTATTCCCCAGTCAATGGAGTATTCACACCGTTGAGCAAGGTAAATCAGACAGAAGTTATCCGCATTGGACAATCGGGTAATGGTCCATTAAATTTTTGAGCATACCTGTCGATCTGCGTTTACGATTCACCGATTGATGCATTAGTAAATAATCGGTAATGGCCGCGATAACGGATTTAGCGATGCACCAATTGATAATTGCATGTTGTTTTGTAAACACAAGGTGAATACAATCGCATCACTCTTTCAATCCATCATATCCCTCAATAACAATCGCCCCAATGATTCTGAAAGGTAAACAAACCCAGCAGGTCTCCACTCGAACGTGTTACGAAAACATAATGAATGTCTGAGAAAACCTCATCACCCCAGCCCGAACCCAAGTATCAACCGACAACAAATTAAATATCACAATCTGAAAACTCTCGTCAGCTACCCGGCAAATCCTTTACCCCCCCCAATTGTTATCCTCCTACGAGTTTTACCTGGAATTAAATAAATCCCGGGTGAAAGATCAAATCTATACTTGTTTGAAATTGTGAGGATATTGTGTAAAGAGCATAATAACGTGGCTGGAAGGATCCTAGGCATTTGCTTCTTTGTGGGTAGCCGACCGTGATACTCAATGGAACCTCGGGCTTTTTCCAAGATGCCGGTTTACCGATCAACCGGACAAGAATATGTACTGTGCTGTGTCTCAAGAAGGGCACCAGCTGAGAAAACATGCCTGTGGCATGTCGACGACGTGCGTTTTACGCGTGTAACGCCCAACATATATTCACGACTAACGTATGAAGGCATCCAACATTCAGCCAGTATATCCCCAATAGCACCATATGCACATTGCAATTTGTACATACGATCGATTTTTAGTTGCGCATATATCTCTTCACTCGGTAAACTCCAGTGTACCTCAGTTAATGCCAATCATCTTGCTAACATAATCCCTTTATCCATTATTTTTTTTTTTCATTCCTCCTCTGGACTCTTGTTTGCTAAATCCCTTGGAGGTGTACTCAATGAAAATAAACGAGACGGCATGCATTATCCTGGAATAATGCTCCTTACTATGATAGTTCCTCATGTCTTGATAACTCTCACCTCAAATTGGACGATGAGTAGACAGGGCACTGGTGTGTCGGAGGCTTGATACATAAATTATAATCAGTCTCACACCTCGTGCGTTTCCAAATGCCGACGATATATATTTTTTTTAATTCCCATTCCCATGATTATTTCTTCTCTCAGAATGTAAACTACTACGTGATGAAACGCAAAGGCAATTCGATTTGTGTGTGCCCACGCAACCACCTTCAGCATCAAAGGGCTACGCACCGCCGAATCATTTCTTCATTTCTGATTTTTTTTTTTATAACCGAAAAGGATTATGGATGTGGACGGTATCCCACGTGCGCGTGTGCTCTTTGTCATGTGATAATCCCAGAAACGGAGGGAGGAGAAGAAAGCCGAATGTTCCATCACTGAAAATTCAGGTGCCGATTTTTGTCTATTAGCAGAGATATCCAACTTTTTTGGCTGATAATGTTATTCAATTCTGCTGAAAATGAATAGAATAGTAATGAAACGTGAGCGATTCCAAGATCCTTTCAATTATTTTCCAACTTTATTTGTGATTCATATGAGTTGACTTTGCGACTCATCATGCCGTTCACGTATAACTTTGAGTCCCTCTTCAAGAATCACATCCATAAATATGACGCATCTAAAAGCAGGATGGACAACAGGTAGTGGAATTATGAATTCGCCTAGGGAATGCTGGATGAATCCTTGACGCAGGATGTGTATGTTTTCTTGCTGTCAGGCCATATGTGTATTTCCAATGGAACGAGGGAGCAGATAAGGCTTAAAACACTGGAAATAAACATGACACCATTTCTTGTTGAGGACGACATCAGCATTGCCACGCGAGCTAAACAAATGGACTCTGAAAAACCAGTGGTTACGAATTATGTGATTTATGACAGCACTGGGTTGTTCTGAATGATTCCTGGAAGTCAGATGATTACGATTTTTTTCACTGACATGATGGGATAAGTAATCTTTCCAGAATTTCCGACATCTTGTACAAAAGCTATCGCAAAAATACAAGCCCTTGATCCTTGCAGTGACTCATTCCTTTTATACGCGACACAATTTTCGTAGCATCAGGCAAAAATGTATCAGATAACAAAGACTCCTCGACAGTAGATCCCTCAAACAAGGTTTTTACCCTCAAGGAGGATCAGGAAATGAGGAAAAAGGCGATCCGAGATAAGAGAGTCGCCATAAAGTGCTCTGAGGTGTCGTGTTCGTCACAGACATGCGAGACCGAGTTTTCACAACAGGATTAGACAGTGTTCAGGATCTATCGGAGGTCCTCCACTAAATGTGCAGCCATTTTTCACGGATGTCTCGGTTTTTTTCCCTCGTACTCCCCCGCAATTTCTCCCTTTTTTTTTTCCTACGGCTCTTCAGCACCCACTGGACCAGACAGGATTATCCACATCCGGTCATTTTTGTTTAGTATTTTTTTACGAGAAAAAAAAAACATGCGAAGTGCTCTGTTCATTCATCAACGTCATATCGAGTGGTTCATTGATCCATTGTGATTCGTTTGTGAGGGAATTTGAAGGCGAGTGGCTGTTGGAAGAAATCACAAATATTCAAGTACAATTTATTTTTATTCATCCTTAAATAATTGTTGTTATATTTGACGGTGGAATATTGAGGTTTAAGTTTTTACTGAATTGTGAATATCAGAGGTAAAAATATTCCTGCAATTCAAGTATTTGAGAATTGTTACTCGAATGTTTATGATACCTCAAGGGGCATTACCCCTGAAGTATTCACGTACGTTCCGAGGTACACGAAATCCATAAGAATCCAGGAATATAAAAAAAAATACCTCCTTGACCGTAAAACGAGCATGCGAGTTTTACGATTGCATTTTATTGAACTTTAATCCATGATTTCCAACAGTAGTAACGATTACAGTGAATCGACTGGATGGGGACAGCTAAGAGAGAGCACCAGTCAAAGGTTAGTCAGGAAATATGACGGATTAACGGTGACAGTAGTGATTGGAGACTCAAGTCGTTATTATTTCTTTAAAAAAAAGTGGAAAACCCCTCGATATTTTGAACCGGCAATTCCCAAGGCTCCGCATGCAAATTCTCCAGATAAGAAACCCATACCTCGGCATAAATATAATATACATTAATAGGTAATTCCGAGATAACAAGAAAATTGAAATCCAAATGCGAGATAAAATGAACGGGGGAGAGGCAAAAAATCAGCTGAAGCTTTTAAAAGGAAATTCCAGGAATATAAACGGAAAACAACGGAGTCTTCACCTTTGACATTACGAGAAACCCACCAATTATTCCCTTCAGCTACCAGAAAGGCCAGGGTATAAACCTGAAGAGAGAGAAATCGTGCTGGAGACTGACAGTCCACTCTTGGAACGCGCGCCAGTAATTATCCCTATTGCAAAGGGAGGGATTGAAGCTGTCTGTAAGTCAGGGAGTCAGAATTCATAATATTAAACGTACAGAGCTGATCCGAATTTCACGTGAATTATATGCTGTACTTATTTATCATTCCTGATGGCTCCAGTATAAACTTTACGCTATTCGATTATAATTCAATTCCAAGTTTCGCTTGTGTGTTTAATCTCGTGTTAACCGCAACTGATTAGAATATCGAGATTAATAATTATTCTGCAAATTCTTCCCAACTTTTTATCTCATAATTTATTATTCAATATTGACATCAACCTCATTCTGCCACGAGGAAATTTCACGATAATTGTAACAAAAAATTTATGAGAAAAAATGGTTCATTGTGACTTGCTCTCCCTCAAAGAGTCATACTTTCACCGTTTGGTGCAGAGGTCGGTTATTGCACAAAATGATGCCAATAACAATAATTATTGTTTGAAGTATATCTCCGTTGGATCCATAACCCGCTGGCCCCTGTACCACTTTCTTTCTTGAGACAAGAGTCTAATTGGCCCTCGACCTCGGGGCAGCTGACCAAAAAATTTATACAGCCCATTCGAACTTGCAGATGCAACTTGGAAAAAAAGGAAGATAATTCAAAAATGAAAAATAACAATTTTTTTTTTTCAATCTGAGCGCGGGGCATTGCAACTGGACAGAGTGCTGCATGGAAAGTGTAATTTTTCATTTTAACGAGCGATGACCATTAACTCATCGCAACTCATCGCAACACACCTTTTCTTTTATGTTACCGGTTCGATGTAGAGCCGTCGATGAATGCATATGGGTTCACCCTTTGAACAGCACTGGTTACACCTCCTTCGGGGCTCATTTTCGTTACCCTTTTTCCTTTTAAAAGCCCGTGCTAATGGTCACTATTTGCATATCAATCAGAATTTGCCGGACTTCATACCCTTTTTGCACAAAAAATTGAGCATTCGACTGAATCACTGGCTGACGATATTTATTCAGTTTTCAACAGATTTTCAACCCAACGGAAATAATGGCACATCTTCTTTAATCTCTCGGTACCTTCAAATATCGATCGTGGATGTTCAAGATGCGCCGTAATTCCAGGAACGAAAATTTATTTAGGGAAATTCACGTTATCCCAATGTGCACGTGATGCTACCACTAACTTGCGGAAGGATGCACCTCAAACATCATTTATCCTGGAAAATGGTTATATTCCCCGAGAGCAGATGTCACACAGCCCGTGCAGTCGTTAGTATCCCATTATGCCAGTATCGTCACGCATTTTAGAAAGAAAAAAATCACCATTTTCATATTTTGAGTGAAAATAAGGAGTGAATAACGCCCCAGCACTTTGACAATGAATAAAACCGCGTGTCATCTTGACTGACGTTTTTCCACTGAAAAATGGTTAATTTCCATGGCCTCGTGGAATACCAAGACCATTTTTTTCCCATCTTTTTAAGTGGCAATGCCAGACTCAAGTCAAATTTTCGTCTTAGTCATGTGAATGATTGAGTGACACAATTAAATATGGAGAAATTAGGAATTTATTTGGGAGGCCGT